GAACGTTACGGGATAATGACAAGACATTGAAGAAGTGCTTAAAGGCGCAGAAACCAGTGTATGTTGGAAGTCCGGAATAAATCATTGTAAAATCACCTGTTAATGTTGTTCCTGACTCATAAATACCTGTTTCACATGATGCTGTTACCTGTAATTTATATTTCTTTAGTTATCTAATAATAAGTTGTTGCTTATAGTAATGGAAATAAGACCGTACATTCCATCCACCAAAATACACTGGTTTCTGCGCATTTAAGCACTTCTTCAATGTCTTTTCATTAGCCCGTAAAGTTTGACGTTCTGCCGACAGGTGGTTAGCCTCAGGATAAGACAAGTGGCTACCGGCAGCCCAGGATCGCCTACCTACTACTGTTAAACAGTACAAGGTCCCTGTGAAAGTTCGAAAACCTCCCTGGCAGGCTAAACTTTCGACAAATAAGGTTTTCTTGGTAATTCAGTTGTGGGGTGTGGGTGGGGTGGGTGTGGGTGTGCGGGTGTAGGTGTGGGGTGTGGGGTGTGGGGTGTGGGGTGTGAGCGAATGTGGATATGGATATGGTTTTTCTCTTTATTCACATCCACACTCGAACACACACCCATACCTATACCCAGGAGTGTGTCTTACATATAGTTAAGTTATTCTCATGATCTAACGTGTAATATCATTTATATGTGATATACAAGAGAATGTATGTAAAACACAGATGCATTTATATTACAATTGCTAATTTATCTTTGTATTACCGAAAAAGAAAAGATGAAAGTTAAGGCAACTTTTTTTTAAAACCACAAAGAAATTAAAGTTTTACTGTTATAAAATAAAATTGATGATGTTGTTTATCTTTTTGAAAGAACAAAAAAGATTTGTTGTGAGCTGCAACAAGAAAAACGTTTCTTGGTATGTTTAGTTGCCACAAAAACTTGCTTGAAAATGATTTCCTTGATTTCGATGGTATAGAAGCAATAGTAACGCAATATAATTATTAGTTATCTAAGAAAAGAGTTTTTCTTGCTACTTGGGTGTGGATGTGGGGTGGGATGGGTGTGGGTCTAAATGAGTAACTAGAGGGACCAGACACACCCATACCCCACATCCACACCATCTATGTATGGCATTTGTTTTGAAGTTTTCGAATGCTGGTGTGATTCACTTTAATATGTCGAATGGAGTTATCTTATGACATGAAGTGAAAAGAGCTGTTTTTTTCTCAAGGAACATCGGTCTTCTGGTATATTCTGTATAAGTAAAATATGTTGAAATGTGAATGAACTGAGTACTTTTCAATATCAATAGATTGTGTAAGTGTGGATTTGTGGATCTGTGGTTGCCTGTTCTTTGCCCACATCCAAGCGCACCCATAGATTTTAGATGGATTGTTATGGCACGATATTAAAACTTCCCCATATATTTTTATACAAGGGTCCTGCCAAGAGGTATCATTTTACCTTCATATTCTGTTTATTCTAAAATATCACAAAGAACAGAATTACAAAAAGTGAAAGAACAAAGTTTGATGTACGTTGTCGAACGTATTCAATATTTGCATTAGAAACTACAGTTCGATTACATGCAGATGGACGAATGTTACCATATTTATGCAACCAATTTATTTCTTCTCGAACTTTAATTTTTTCATGCCACGGGTTATCTTGAATGACATGACTTTCACCTGGAAAGATGATCAATTTTGTTGGAACGCCTACTACACTAAGCGCTCGTTCTAATATGTAATTCTCTACCGCAGGAACACGTATGTCATCTTCGCCTACCACGATATGAGTGGGGGTACAAACTTTGTCCATATGATATATAGCAGCTTCATCATGATAATGATTAGGTTGTTCCCATGGAAGGCCACCTAAAGTATACGCATTCATTATTGGTAGATCGTTAACTCCCCAATCAGCAACATTTTCAACAGCACCGGCTCCAGAGAGAGCAGCATTGAATCGAGTTGTCTGAGTAATCAACCAATTCGTCAGATATCCACCGTAACTGTATCCACCAATAGTCAATCTTGTCGGATCAGCAATACCATCTCGTACTAGTGCATCAACACCAAATAGAATATCTTTACCAGGTCTCGATAGCATTTGAATCCGAACACCATCCAAAAATTCATCACCATAACCTGACAAATTATAAACATTGCAGACTAAAATAACGCTTCGGGAGAATTTTTTAGACTTGCTGGTCTGTTAGTGATATTCTCATACCCTCAATGTGGTCTTCATTATTTTTAACCTATTTGACTGCAGAAAGATTAATTTTATAGTAAACCTATTTTTGAAGCTTTCAAAAACTGTGATCTTACTTACCGGTAGATCCACGATAGTTCGGTTGTAGCACAAGCCATCCTTCTGTGGCCATCATCGTAGCACAGTAATACCAATCAGCTCGAAAACCATTCAAATCTGCATCATAAGGCCCACCGTGAATGAGTACTAGAAGTGGTAAATTTTTTTCTTGGTATTTTTCCGGAGGATATAAGAGAACGCCTTCGACCTCTGTTCTATCATCTTCATTAAGCCATCGATAGATGGTACCTTTGGGTAGATTTCGTTCGGTAAATAATTTATTTTCCCTAGTAATCGCTTGAGCTTCTGTGAGTCGATCAATATCATGAATGAAATAAACTTCTTGAGGTAAATCGAATGATGAATAAATAAAGGCGATGGTGGAGTGGTTACCATTTGATACTACCCGAATAGATTCATAAGTCCCGTTCCAGCCTGTTTGCTTAATTAATTCAGCATGCACCGATTTTTGTGTATAAATTTGAATTTCAGTACCCAGTTGACCGAGAATAATAGCACCATTACGACCATCGTCTAATAAGGCGAATTCTTTAATATTACCCTTAAAATTATGCGCCCAACGTTCAATTCGATTATTAGCAGCACTCAAAGAGTAGAGTCGTCCTTGGGTGTCCTTGTATACATCATCAACAGATCCATTCTCGGTAACTGTAAAAAAAACCGATCCATCAGAAGACCATTCCAAATCCGTTTCGTACGCTTGATTGTATGTTAATCTCAATGGAACTGAGAATGAATAATTAGTCAAATCAATCGAATAAATTTCATAATCGTCCATCGATTCCATACGATCGGATCTTGGGACAGTTGAAAATATCAGTTGCCGTCCATCAGACGAACAAATCATTTTTTCCACTCGCAACGAAATATTGGCTACTATCTCTATGTTGTAAGCCGTCATATTTATTATATCGATACGATAGAGAGTCGCACCTCGTTCCTCTTCACGATATTGAATTACATCATTCCACTTGTTCTTATAAGCTTCCTCAGCTTCGCTTGTCCATGGTGTACGAGTTGCAAAATAGAGACGTGTTGTCATGTGGGACCAAGTGAAAGCCTGGACAGCTTCCTTTCCTAACGCTATTGGTATTGTTTGCTCAGTGCGAATCGAATAGAGATGAATATAGTGTTCCTCTTGATTATCTGAGCGATCAAAGCGCTTTTTTGAGTGACTTTCCGATACATAAGCTATCCATTCGCCTTTCCAAAGTGGTTTCAAAGAGCTAGAGGCATTTTTTGCTATCAGCCTTTTACTGTCACCTGCTAATGTCTGCCAATAAATATGCATTTCATTGACATCCTTGTCCCAAATATGGTTTCTTGTCTGAATGAGAAATGATTGACCATTATCAGGTTCAAGCACCAACGATGAAAATTCAGTGTAATTAAAAAATTCATCCAAAGTCAATGTTGGCTTTAAAGATGAACTGCTCTTAATGACCAGCACCAGGATACAAAACAAAAATTTGATCAACATTTACCGAAAATCTACAAAGATATGTATCATTGATACACGATTTATAAAGCCACGAACAGTCAATTTTAATTGTTTGTCTCAATGAAGATATAAAGATTAGGCAACAGTTTTTTATTTTCATTCTATTCATTATTTCAAAACTAAATCTTCTGTTAAGCTAGAAGAAAAACTCTGTAAAAAATAGCCCGTAAATTCATTCCATGTTATCTACAAAAGCCTATTATGCTATTGGACACCCTGATATATATACTAAAAAGCTTGCTAGCACAGTCTCTTCGGATCTCGCATGTAAAACTCACGTATAATTTCACCGGAAGCTTTGGAATATTCTAGAATTTCTTAGAGCAGTCGGAGCCATCTTATTCGTTCTGCGTAGAATGGCTCACTGCTCATCAATCTTACTGTCTTTACAATCAACTTGTTAGTGGTTTGAAATACATGATTTAGTTAAAAAGGAATGTTCAACCTGTTCTTTTGCTCTCTGAAGATCATTGTGAAAAAATGTGGCTGGTTATTAGTATTCGTGACTATGTCAAGTAGATAAAGCAGTTCGAGTGGAAGATATGCATTCGAATAGTCGAGTCAACTCACTTGTAATGCATGCTCAGGAAAGACAGAAGAAGATTACAGAATACAGATAAGGATCAAGCATGTACTTACCAGAGACCGAAACGGGGGGAATTTTTTGTTCTGCGCTCCGGTGTAAAAACTAATGACTGGTGGGGGGCGGAGGGCTAGCGCGAGAGAGATCCCACTACTTCCCCTCAGGCCTATACCAAATCTCGCTCACGGCTACCTTGAAGGATAAGCCCTCATCATACATTTTTATCTTAGTGAGTCCGAAATGAAGAGAATTTTTCGTTCTCCGCCCCACCCTAACCTTAATTTTTGTGGAACTCACGTAAATTTTCGAAGAAAATAGTGAATGTAAGTTTTAAGTCGAGGTTTTTCGGCTCCCCCTCCCCTCCCCATTACAGACACTAGCAACCCAGGAAAAAGAATTTAAACAATGATTTTGCGTATTTCACACTAGTTTGTTGAGGCAAAAAGACATACGTGAGTTTCACATTTGAGCCTCAAAGGGTCTACGGTAACAAGCTTTTTTTCACTCTCCCGCCTCGCACCGGCCGGTAAAAAAGCGTCCCGCCCCATTTCGGTCTCTGGTACTTACATACAATTCATCCTGTGACTTTCTTGAAATACTTAGCGTCAACATATGAAGGACAAAGAAATATATCGAGACGTACAAGATGAGTGTGAATAGAGAGAATATCCACAGATTTATCTTGTTCAAATGGTGCTCAAGCAACAGTTTGCTTAGTTTTATGTATTGAGAATTCTTTTACTGGATCACGTGAACAAGCGCTTCATCAAGTAAAATTATGTAAACGTTTTTCTAAAACATTCGTAGCAAAGTCTTAATTCGATTAGTCATGGAAACATATCATCATGTCTTTTCCGCTTCTAAACGATTGTATCCGACAAATTTCTCTGAATTTCTTACTTGTATTTCACTTTGTATCATTCTATAATTGTGTACAAGCAGAAAAGAAGCAAAATCATATACTTAGGACAATTCAAAAGTTGTGACCCAGATACCTTATTTTCGTTTAGAAGGTTTGAAGAAATTTTCTTTTTTTATGAGATGATAGAGTAAGTGAAGCTCTATTTTCCCATGCTATTTGATCACTCTTCAACAAATATCATAATAATAAAATTTCGATAAGAACTGTTTTTGTGTAATCCTTCATTAACGGGTGAGGCAGATTCAATGTGTCAATCACTTAATACATTATATTAAAAAACAAAGTATACCACAAGATGCAGCGTGAAAAGCTCTACGATGTACAAAGTAAAGCTTATTTTAATTGTACACTTCTTGTTTTCAAAGAAATCAAAATTCTGTGCGACCAATTTTCCCTGGCCCAGAAAAATCATTTTTTTCTTATTTCATATATAAAATAAGCTGTTCTTTAAAAATTGTAGAACTTTTTACGCCGCATCTTATGGCATATTTTGGTTTTTAATACAACCTATTAGGTGATTGAAAATCGAAATGCAAAGCGTATTTATCTGCCTCACCCATTAGTGAAGTTTTACACAAAAACAGTTCTTATCGAAATTTTATTATTATGATATTAGTTGAAGAGGGATCAAGTAGCATGGGAAAATAGAGCTTCACTTATTCTATCATCTCATAAAAAAGAAAATTTCTTCAAGCCTTCTAAACGAAAATAAGGTATATCGGTCACTACTTTTGGATTGCCCTAAGTATTTCTTACCTTATAATCAAGAGAACGTTTTATTCTTCCTATTTCATCTTTGATGTAGCATTTTCAATCCAACATTATGTTCAGATATTCTGCTGCATTCAGTACTTTTCCTCGGGTAGATATACCATCTAGTTAATTGAAATTCATCGAAATTCATGATGAATGTATTCTCGTGAGAATGATCGTCAAGAATTTTAAGAAATTGCCTAAAATAAGATCTTGAAACGATCTCTGGATCTTCGCACGATTGTTGTCAAAATCTCAGTACAAAAGGTTTACGATTGCAGTATAATCGATATAGTTGAAATCAACAATAATGCGAATCGCGACTACAAAGTTTTGCCTGTCAGTGCACCTTTATACAGCGTATCATGTATGGACGAGTCAAAGCTTTATGCACGACAAAGTGAAACAGAAATCAATGTTTTACTGCTCTCTTTATCGAATGAGAGAAACTTGTTCGGAATGAGATTATATGACTTACAAAAATCAATGTTGTCACAGATTATTCACTACAAATATGTGAAGTTGGAGGTGTGGGCAAGAGCAAACAGCGATCTTCATAAGATTTCAAAAACCGAAGTCTCAAATGCTTCGCTCTCAGGCATAGATGTAGGTTTCCGTGTCGTATATGTTTGTTCTCTTCGCCCACACACCCCACACCCTCTATGATGAATCTGTCTTAATTTCTACATATTATTCTATTGCTTTCATATTTAAACAATATCCAAAAGGTAAGTATTAGTTAGAAAAGTTATGATCTGTATGAGTTCTTTTAACTTTTGAACATGATCCTATTCCGAATTTTCGTGTATTTTTTTCAATTAAATGTCATCTCGAACGGTAATGGGTATTTCCATGCAGCTCCGCCCACTTTTGCATCGACTTTCTGTCGAGAAAGTTCAAGGCTGTTAGCCTTGTAGCCCTTGCTGAGTTATGTATAAAATGATATTTGGTTTTGATTCAGATCATAAGCTAACTCCGCTAGGGCGGGCTGAAAAGTCGATTTTATCGAAAATTGGCCCCCTAAATCCATCTGTTTTATATTTGGGGTGTGTGGGTGGGTGTGGGTGGGTGTTTGGGTGTGGCTGTGACTCTTTCCATAACCCACACCCACACCCTATCTCTAGGTCTATTATTTCTATATAAGTTTTATAACTTCTGACAACCCATATATTTGAATATCTGTAGTATCTGTATATTAAACTTAAGTGTAGTTCTGCATCTAGTATTTATACAAAGTTAACTTCCATTATTCTCTTTCTCTCTCTTAACCCTTTCCGGCCGGATGTTGCCATTTGGCAACATTGAGCCAATATTTCGTGAACGATTCACTTATAGTGGCGGTTTATAATGCTGTGACAATCCGATAATTACTATAAGACATTTCAACAGATTTTCCTGATTCACAGCACAGAAAAAACATTTTCATT